GGAGGGGCGGCTCCCCGGCGAGCCGCGGGAGATCAGCGGGCCTCGGCGGCACCCGTGGAGCTCCGGGGGCGGCAGCAGGACGCGGCCGTCCCGGGCGCTGGCCCCAAAGGCTGAGGGCAGCGGGCGGGGACGGCTGCGGAAAGGCTCTCTCTGCCTCTCCTGCCGCAGGTGTGCTTCATCGGCCGAAGCAACGTGGGGAAATCGTCTTTAATCCGGGCCTTGTTTTCGCTGTCTCCAGAAGTGGAGGTCAGAGTGTCAAAAACTCCGGTAAGTGCTGTTTTTCACTTCCCTCCCTCTTGGTCCGAAGCTGGTGCCAGCCCAGAGGATAGGGCCGAGGAGGGCGGGAGGAAACCAGCTCTCGGGGAACTTGAAGCGGTAGGAGAGTGTGCTGGCCACGGTGGCCACCGGCTCACGGCTGGCGCAGGCCTTGCTCTGGCAAAGGACGAGGTGGCAGGAGCCCACCTTAGCTCTTCGGCCAGGACTGGCACGTGTGCCAGACAGAAGAGCAGTACAAGCTGAGTGGACATGATGCAAAGCCCTTTGAGAAGAACCAAGCACAGACACCCGTGAAGGTATTTTTAGACTATTTTAAGGATAGAGGCACATAGGATTGCTACAAGGGTGGGAGACTAGACAGCTTAAAGCAACAGTAGCGTTTTTGCAGCCTTCTGGGGGTGGGGGGGTGGGGAGGCAGGGTACGATACAGAGATAGTTTGTACACCTCCTAGTCCACTGCTTAAAGCAACTTTTTAACCCCCCCTTTCCTCCATCTCTTCCCCCCCACCCTTTAAAAAAAAAAAATGCTCTCTCCAGGGCCACACCAAGAAGATTAATTTCTTCAAAGTAGGGAAGAAGTTTACTCTGGTGGATATGCCAGGATATGGCTACCGTGCCCCACAAGACTTTGTGGAGATGGTGGAGGCCTATCTGCAGGAACGGCACAAGTAAGGGACTCAACTGTACCTCCATAAAGCAATGAAAGCCAGACGCCTATATACGGTGTCATGTAATCAGGTGAAAAAAGGTAGGAAAGGTAGCTACTTCCAGTGGTAGTATTGATGAGTTCTGAAGTTGTTTTCCTGGGAAACTCTGTGGTGTCACCACACTAGGTCAGATCAAAACAGCAGAACAGGTTGAGGTGCTGCTCCGGGCTGACCCTCAGCTCCCTGAGTGGCTTTTCTTGGCTCTTCCTATCCCCAGATACCATGTTACTTGTTCTTGCTTATGAATTTGGAAATAGCAGAGCAGGCATGAAATAACGATGGTGATTACTGTTGCTTGTATTTCTGACAGCTTGAAGAGGACTTTTCTGTTAGTTGATGGTGTAGTAGGACTCCAGAAAACAGATCATATTGCAGTAGATATGCTGGAAGAGTTTGGGATTCCTTACGTGGTAGGTAGTGCTTCATTCTTGTGTTGGTTATAAGCTACAGATAATCTATAAAGGTGTGTACCCTCTACCTGAGCTTACGCAAGTTGTCCTACCTAAGTTGTAAACCCCCCCTTTACTGTTAATAAAATAGGCCTAAAATGTGTTGAGGGGGGCAAAGGGGATTTAAGAGATTTTTTGCTTGATTTATTAAATGGACGCTTTTTTCCCAGTGCTCAGCTTGAGGAGCTCGAAAAGGTCCATTCCTTATGCATGCTATACAAGTGTTTTCGTGAACTGTATTATGCAATTTTTCCCTCTGGATATGACCCAGAGCTTTCAGCCTGCCTTGCAAGGTGGTTCAGGACTCTTACAGATGTTCCAGGCTAGCAGCAAAATAATCTTTTCCTTTTTTAATCCTCCCTTTCTGGATCCATGCAGATGGTGTTAACAAAAATTGACCGAGCTTCCAGGGGAGTGTTGTTAAAGAACGTACTGGAGATCCAGGACTTTGTAAAGGAGAAAACTCAGGGATGCTTTCCTCAGCTATTCCTGGTCAGGTAAAGCTCTTCTGTGTTGCTGCCGTTTCCTTTCAAGTGATGATTTCAATAGGGCAAACTACCTGAAACGGTCCATCAGCTCTAGAGGTGGCACTTCTCCGTGCCCCAAGGATGGAGGGTGGGCTGCTGATGGGGAAATGCCCCTTTCCTTCTTCCCCTTCCTCTGCAAGCGAGTGGAGTTCAGTTTTCAACTTTGGCCTTTCTCTGAGGGGGGCAGCAGTCCCTATGCTAGTGGGCTTTCCCCTTCTGTTTGGAGTTGTGTTAACAGCAGCAAGCTGTAATCGTTTGATTACGTAGCTGAAGCGCTTAACGTACAACTATTGTAGTGCACTGCAGGAGATGTTACTTAACACAGCCAGTGGCTGAATTTGCTTGTATTACTCCACGACACAGCAGCATCTGGCACTGAACATCCACATGTTTGTTTCCACAGTTCTCTGGAGTTTTCAGGGGTTCACTTGCTAAGGTGTTTTGTAGCCCATGTTACTGGAAACCTGCCTACTGTAGACGCCAGCTGAGAAGACTGACTCCTGATCTGCTCAGCTTATCCAGAACAAAAGGTACCAAAACCAGAGGTCTGGATTTTTGTTGTAAATAACCCAAGGTACTAGAATTTATTTAATTCAGGAAGTTTGCACTATGAATGAATCCAGGTTATTATAAAACTGTTTTATAAAACCTACATGATTGTGCTAAGGAGAAAAAAGCAAAGACAACCTCCAAAGGGAAGCTAAGTCTTAATGCAGCATTTCCTCTCCTGCCAGAGAAACGTTCAAAAAGCTACCACTGCGTGCTTAAGCTCTGCTATATTTAGGATACTAGAGATAGTCTAGTAATTTCATTAATAAAAAGGCATTTAGTTTAGAAAAGAAAAACTAACATTAAGCAAGCTGCACTTGCCCAGTTGAATTGAATGATACACAGAGGTTTACTTCTCTCAGCTTATGTAGCAGGACCAAAAACTAGCACCTGTGCAATCTGCCTGCTCTAAGGCAATCTGGAGTGGACATAGCCAAGATGTTGTCTGTGAAGGTGTTTGGGACTTCCTGTGTAGTTTCCTTTTGTAACTCTTCTGCATTGTGTGTCCAATAGGTGCAGCGTGATAGCGTGCCTTGCTTGCATACCTCGAGTTGCCCCTGTTCCAGGTGGATGAAGGAAAGGACACATCTTTGATGGGATCTGCTTTTTGATTACTGTTGGCGTGGAACAAAAGACTGGCATGTAGGGAAACTCTCTCCTTCTGCACTTTATCGTCAGTCAGTGCTGCAGCTACCTCCTGTTTTAGATCCAGCATGAAGTTCTGCAGCTGCACTCAGATGAATTGCCAGAGATAGAGATGAGACACACTGTCTGTTATCTGCATCCTGTTCTACCCTGGCAGCTGAAGTACAATACTGATGTCCCGTACTCTTCAGGGGCACTGTAACAGCTGGCAGAACTGTGTCCCGCAGCAGCTAAAGAGCACCTGAAGTTGGCTCATTACAAGGCATAGAATTAGAGGGGGGGAAAAAAAAAAAAAAGACTGCCATCAATAGCAGTAGTTGTTAAAAGAGAATTTAACCTAAAGCTGTTAAGGGCCTATGTCAAACTCTGGCACTCAGTCTTGTCATGTCTTAACATTGTCAAATGTGTGTATGCAGTTGTCAAAAGTTGCTTAAATTAAGTAAGTGTTTAAACCTCAAGAAAAGGCAGGTCTTTTGTGAACCACTCTAAGGTATTTTTAGTGTTTTGTTTCATTATGGAATTTTTTGTAACTCTTAAGATTTACAACTCTTTACAACTCTTAATCAAAAATGAGGCGAGGTCTGTTTTCAGTATCTATGTAAGGGGGGCGGGGGGATGCGGTAGAAAGATGCAGATCTCTAGTTTCCACAGCTTAGCAGAGATCAAACCTGTAATTCTCTAATATTTTACCCCTAATCCCTAAGTGCCCCTGAGCAAACCAGCCCATAGGATGCTTGATCCTAGGGGGAAGTGCAGTAGTATCTAGACAGATGGAACAGGTGCAAGTGAACACTTCAGGAATCTTTTCTTGGTATCTTAAACCCAGGATCTTCCAAAAGCATCAATCTTGCCAAGTCTGTCATTTTCAAGGCCTCAGCCTTGACTGAAGAGCCTCTGAAAATAAGTCTGTGTATGTAAAAGAAAGTGCAGTTCTGTTTTTAGTCCCTCTTCAGAACAAAACACCTTAACAGTGCTGGGAAGTCTTTTATTAACCACTTAAATACATTAAATATGTCTGGTAAATCCATTTATATAAAAAGTGCTTTGAAATATCAGCAGACAGTGAATTGGACTCCATGATCCTTGGGGGTGTGTATAGTTGCCACGAGGTGTCCTTAGTGGAAGCCACGTGGTGCTAGATGGTAAGTTTTTTACAGCTGTACTAGAAACAGCAGGTACAGTCTTACCCTGAAGAACCAGTTTTACCTCTGGACACATCTGGGTTTTCTGCTTTATTGGTCAAAAGATCTTCATTCATGAATGCTTCCAACACTGGAATTACTCTTGGATTTTCCTCACCCATCTGCAGGAGGGAACACCACAGTTTTGTTACATGCGAGAACCAGTGCCCCGTGACAGGTAAGGTAGTAAATAAAATCAAGTCCTCTCCTTCACTTAAACTTTAAACCTTACATTTCAGTGCCTTCATGGGAACATGCTTTGGTTAAACGGGCATCTGACACAGGAGCAGACTTTCTTGCCAAGTTCTTGAGGAACATGCTATGTTGTGGAGTGAGGAACTGCACTTCCCCAGGCCAGGGACACAAAAGCTCTCCCTTTTTTTTTTCCCCACTCATTGATCAAAGGAGGGACTGGCAGCATACTGAAGCAGTAAAGACCATTTCAGTTTTAAATGCTTTTGATGTCTTAAATTGTTTGCAGGGTACACACCACACTGCAAGCAGCCAGCATTACCTTGTAAAGCTTTGCCTCTTCTGCACCTGTCATGTACAGAAGTGATGTTGAGTACAGGCTTCTATGGAAAAGGAATTTACCTTGTGCATCTCTCTGGTCTTCCAGCAGTACTTTCTCCTTTTTCTTCCTCTACGGCATCTGGTCTAGTCTGTCACCATAACCCTGGCATTACACAGCCAGTATTTTGACTGTATTCTTGCAACAGTCCCCTAGAGTCACTGTAGTGTAGAATAATAGAATTTTAGTAGGGACCCTGACCAGATGCTACATCAATAAATCTATTAATATTAATGAAGAAACCTAAACAGGTTTCTTGGGTTATTTTAAAAAGCAGGGAGGGGGGCTCACAGACATTTTGGATTTTAGCTCTCAGGCATTTACACAGAGAGGCAATGTGCACTAAGGTAGAAAGAGCTCTGGTTGACTGTCACTTTGAAGGTTGTTTTGGTGTTGCCTTCTTTCACTCTCTTTCTTGTCTAGTCTTGCTCCTTGGGCTTGGCATCGTTTTCAGACTATGCTCAGAACTAGGATGCACTGCAGTAGGAGCACTGGTAGGTACGAAACAAATTTTGGATGCCAAAGAGAACACACCAACTGTTGAATACAGACAATTCATTCTGCATTAAGTGGGGTGGCTGCCCATGAGAAGCAAGATACTGCTACCTCAACTATCAATGTTCCTGGCAAGAGAGGAAACAGAAATCTTAGCAGCTGCTAATGTTTCCAGTCTGTATCACTGGCTAACCCTACTCATGCTTGAGATTACTTTTAATACCTGCTCATCCCAGCTATAACATGATACTGTATTTTATGGAGGAATTGTAGCTGTTTCTGTGCAAACAGGGACAAAGCCAGGGAGACATACAGCTTCTTAACATCACCCTCCTGCTTAAGTGTTTTGGAAACAGAGTAAAACCAGAACCCATTTACAGAAGAGGCAGAGGAGGGAGGAATAAGTTGTGGTTTTGTCCTGTGCTACAAACAGGACACAAGATGAGAGGAAAGGAACAAAACTAAGAAAAGGCAAACTAAGAAAAGGTCTTGCATTACATCCCAAAATAAAGATGGTAAGTTAATAAATTGAGAGGCATCACAGGTGAATTATTAAGAGAAGTCATTATTGTGGGATCAACCAAAAGGTTTTATTAAACTGATTAAATGAGGATTAAACGATGATCAGACAGTGGTCAAACACTCTACTACTTACTACACTTCTAATAATTAAGCTAGTTTGTATACAATATGCTTTAGACCTAATACAGAATGTCATTACCTCGCTGTAGCTATTGGATGTCGGATAAGGAATCTCTCGACCTCAAGGACTAACCTTGAGAGGTGTCAAGCGGAGATCACCACCATGCAGCCCGCCGCTGTGCAAGGGAGCTCAACGGGCTGTGGTGGCTGCAGATATTTATAGTGTAAAGTGGTTGACTTGTTGTCAAACTCTCCTTTGCTCTACATGTAACTGTGCAAGCCCAACAGCTGTACTGTCCAGTCCCCGCTCAGGCTGGTACTGTTAGCTCCTGGTAAGACACAACCTAAATTCCTTAAGTTCCTGAGAAGATACGGCCTAGCACAGTTTCTCAAGGTTTGTACAGCAGGGCTGACTTCACTCAGGCCTACTTCTAAGTGATGCCTGAACCAAAGTACTCTTAATTCAGAGTGGTTGACTTACCTCTATGGGCCTCTATATAAGAAGCCACCCTCTTCACAATATGCTATAGCCAGTCCTGTAACTTCCTTTTCTTCTCATGTGATGCATTCACAGCCAGTTCGTATCTAAAACCAACACCAATAAAAAGTAAAGTAAGCAGCCCTTCTTTACCTACACAAGTGATTTTAATACTGGGTTTGGTAACTGCAATTTAATCTGCTCCTAAGAACTAGCCACAGCATTAAGCCTGTATGCACAAATTAATTTTAACCCTAATTTAACACTGTCCAAGCACTTGTTAAATACTTGATCTCTAAGTACTTCAGCTTTAACTAGTCTACTTACAAGGACCTCTTATAGAAGCACCGAAAACTGTTTTGCTCAATAAGGTAATTATTGAGCAGCTATCAACTGTTTAGGTAATATACAGCAGATTTTTTCCAGGGAAGGTAGTTCACATTTTTGTATTCTAATAATCTACAAGGGTATTTGCACACTGTGTGGCACGTTTACAAAGTTTATACAAGACAATAAATCTACCACTTGCACAGATATAGCTACTTAAACCAGCATTTTCTTTGAAAAACATTGAGAACAATGGAAAACATACTATGCCAACAAGTAGTAAGGGGCAGGGGGGAATAAGTCTTAGCACTATTCTTGCTAATGCTGTTCCCCAATAAGTTACTCTCCACTGGTTCTTGTGTGATGAATACAGCACTGCTGGGCTGTTGCCCTCACTCCTGGTGCAAGCACAGAATGTGGTGTCTTGGGATGGCACCAGCCCCGAGCTCCGCCAGGGAAGGTTGTTTAGACTCAGACACCGAAAGGCGCTGTACTCACTTCTTCTGAATTCATTCCTTGGGATCCTTCCGTGCTTCATCTCTGGCTTCTACTCTCCAGTGTGTTTTTGTTTCTCCAGTGTCTGCACCTCAGCTGCCATCTTTTCCTTCTTCCTCTTCAGTTTCCTAGAGAAAAACCTTTGTTCAAACTTCACTTTGCAAGGCATTTACTACACTAGAAGAGTGAGCCTCCTATTGGAGACATAACAGATTTTTCTTCATAAGGAAAAATATAACAAAATTTTTTCTTAAGGCAAAACCTGATGAAGGCACAAGAAACTTGTATTTCTCAAGCATCAGCAAAATTAGCTAAACCACTCACAATGATTTATGAAGGATGTAAGCTATTGTACAATTCAGAAGTAGTATTTAAGAGGGCAAAACAAATGCACTTGGACCAAGGCCCATGTAGATTGGGTAGGACTTCAGAACCACAGCTGTCTTTGTGGTCAAAGACAATAAAAAACATTGTGCTGATATTTAGATTCTTTTTCTTCCAAAAAAACAGAAGGTGTGGGAAATCTAGTACTCAGCCCCCAGTTACAAGAGACATTTCAGAAATTCTAGAACTTGATGATGGGAAAAATAAAATAAGGAACAATACCAACAAAACTTGGGAAAGAGTTGGCAGGTAGATCTGTAAGCAAGCCGAGCGTGACTATGGTTTGCACGCTGTCAGAAGGTACTGCTGACAGCTTTGGCCCACAGCAGCCAGGGTTCAGGTAGCCAAAGTATTTACAACGTTTGGGATAAAGGAATAGTTTTGGACAATTTTTAAAGACCATTCTAACAGAAAAATATTTATTCCCTCCTTAGCGGCTCCCCAATATGACTCCTAAGGCATACTTAAGAGACATTTGTTCTAAACCTAGTATTCTAAAGGAGTACTTCTAAGAAATTCACCAGAAATATTAAGAGTACAATAAGCAACTTAAAAGTAATGCAATAAAAATAACAAGAAACATGTTTTTACAGTATAAAGTATTTCAAGGTTAAAGTTTGTTTAAGACTTTAAGAAACACTAACAGGTCTCCAAGTTGATGAGGATAAATCTTGTCCAAGCCTTAGATATTAAGTTACAAAGAAACACAGATCTTGCAGCTGCAGGTAGGAACTTAAGTAAAATACAAGTTAAACAGCATGGGGCATAGGCCCTTCTTTTATAACCTAGCTGAAAAATACATTACTTACTTACTTAAGCAACTGATCTGTGTTCCATTTCCATGGGTCAGGGCAATCCCAAGCACAAATACAGGCTGGGTGGAGAATGGTTTGAGAGCTGCCCTGCAGAGAAGGACTTGGGGGTGTTGGCTGACAAGAAGTTCAACATGACCCAGCAATGTGTTTGCAGCACAGAAAACCAACCGTATCCTGGGCTGCATCAAAAGAAGCGTGACCGGCAGGTCGAGGGAGGTGATTCTCCCCCTCTACTCTGCTCTCATGAGACCCCACCTGGAGTACTGTGTTCAGCTGTGGGGCCCCCAGCATAAGAGGGACATGGACCTGTTGGAGTGAGTCCAGAGGAGGGCCACAAAGATGATCAGAGGGCCGGAGCACCTCTCCTATGAAGACAGGCTGAGAGAGTTGGGGTTGTTCAGCCTGGAGAAGAGAAGCCTCCAGGGACACCTTATAGCAGCCTTCCAGTACCTCAAGGGGGCCTACAAGAAAGCTGGAGAGGGACGTTTTACAAGGGCAGGTAGCGACAGGACAATGGGTAATGGCTTTAAACTGAAAGAGGGTAGATTTAGATTAGATACAAGGAAGAAATTCTTCACTGCGAGAGTGGGGAGGCACTGGAACAGGTTGCCCAGAGAAGCTGTGGGTGCCCCATCCCTGGAAGTGTTCCAAGGCCAGGCTGGATGGGGCTTTGAGCAGCCTGTAGCTTCCTAGTGGAAGGTGTCCCTGCCCATGGCAGGGGGGGTGGAACGAGATGATCTTTAAGGTCCCTTCCAGCCCAAACCATTCTATGATTCTATGACTGGGTGCCCCTCCTCTGACATTTTTGACCTAGTTTAGGCTAACAGCAAGGAACATATCTCACAAAAAAAAAAAAAAAAAAAATTTGTTTATTTAGATGTTGACAGAAGTCAAGTGTTATTATATAGAACGGAAAAAAGGATCTACAAGTCACATCATTGTACTTGTTCTTTGGCTTAGGGGAAGTCATTCTGAGCCATGCTTGGCCCCCTGTCGGCGAGGGACTGCCACAGTGAGAGACTTCTAGATACCAGTGCAGGCTCGCAGACCGAATGCTCAGTTACAGCCAGAAGCGGGCAGCATACACAGAAGTTACCACAACACACTCGCATTGACTTAAGTCCTGCTTTTGATGAAAAAGTGTACTCCACCCTCTGAATTAAACTGTTTCAAAGTTGCGGTCATGGGAAACTGCCATGCTTGTGGGGATTACCTTCAGTTTCCAAGTTGTTTGGCCATAGTTAGTCAATTGTGCGTCAATCTGTGAGAGCTGGAAAAAGGTGAAACTTAACTGAAAAGGCTACACATCCATTCCTGTTTCCTTAACTCCGGAGCTCATGAAGAACATATTTTCTTTTTGGATTTCCACCCTCACTGTCAAGAACAGCAAGAGCATCTAATTCCATCTCTTCACAACTGCCAATAGTTTCACTCACCAGCTGTTTGCCCTCCAGCTCTCAGAGCCATCAATTACTTCACTGAAAAAAAAAGACTAAGTCCATTCCCCTTCCTGTATGTTATTTATTATTAAAAGCATAATCTCAAGTTTATTAATCTAAAATAATTTAGTATGTGTCATGGTTTACCCCCAGCCAGCAGCTAAGCACCACGCAGCTGCTCACTCACTCCTCCCTCCTCCCAGTGGGATGGGGAGGAGAATCAAAAAAAAAAAAAGTAAAACTCATGGGTTGAGATAAGAAAGGTTTAATAAGTAAAATAAAATATAGTAATAACAATAATGATAAAATATTATAATAATAATTGTAATGAAAGGGAATGTAACAAAAAAGAGAGAGAAATATAACCCAAGAAAATACAAGTGATGCACAATGCAATTGCTCACCACCTGCTGACCGATGCCTGAGCAGCGATCTGCCCCTCCTGGCCAACTCCCCCCAGTTTATATACTGAGCATGACGTTCCATGGTATGGAATATCCCTGTGGCTAGTTCGGGTCACCTGTCCTGGCCACGCTCCCTCCCAGCTTCTTGTACACCTGCCTGCTGGCAGAGCATGGGAAACTGAAAAATCCTTCATTTAGGATAAGCGCTACTTAGCAACAACTAAAACATCAGTGTGTTACCAACATTATTCTCACACTAAATCCAAAACACAGCACTGTACCAGCTACTAGGACAAAAATTAACCCTATCCCAGCTGAAACCAGGGCACCATGTTAGAAAGCAAATACTCTTCATTCACAGTGCTCAAATTCAAACCACCTACCAAGCATGGATGCATATTTATATGGATGCATATAAAGCAGGAAGGAAGAACTTACCCAAAATCGTGCTAAAAGCAGACAAGAGTAAAGCCCAATCTTTTGCCTCAGCTAGGCCAAATTGGTTCTGCATGCAAGCAATGAAACAACCTGTCCTCTTCTCCCTTTCTACCTATACTTAGCCCATATTTAAAACCTTAGCATGTTGTAAGAGCATGTACCAGTGCCATCAGGAAATGAAGAAAAAACAAGTTTACTTTAACTTTTTTTTTTTTAAAATGGTCTAAGAGCTAGTAAAGTCGTAAGTATTTAGAATCCATACAGATTACAAGGACATTTACTTCCAGGAAGCCTTCTCCTGACAGAGCAAGGAACTCTGTGCTGTAACTGCACCAGGATCTTACCTTATATTGTTAAGTTTCATCTTCAGCTTCTCCTGACCAGAGCTGGGCATCAGCAAGTTTATGTGTTCTTTCCCGAGTCACAGACGATCTGAAAGGGAAATTCCAGAGTTCATTTGAGACACCTTTTCCATAAAACCCTGTCACAAAGCAACCTGCAATCTTTCAATTTCTCATTACCGGGGGGGAGGGAGGAAGAGAAGCCCACAGACTTCTGTATGACACCCTAGCGCTATTTTTCCTAAAATGAGAGTCAGCAATGCAGAATACACAAATTCATACTCAACATATTACAAGTGCACAGGAACTCAGCTTCAAGTCACAAACCAACTGCCAACCAAAGGCAAAGAGAAAGTTGCTCTCACATTAGCTGTTCCATAATTATCTGTTGCAAGGATAAATGTACCTTCTTTACAAGCTTCAGGACAAGAGGAGAGGTCAGTAAGGGTGACAGCTTGGTGGGAGTCTGTTACAGAACACCCAGCCAAGGTAAGAAAGTGGATGAACATTTCTCCCCTCTTTAAGCAACTCCAGGAAGTCTCTGTATCAGACTGGTTCTCATGGGCGACTTGAACCTCCCTGACATCTGCTGGAAGGGCAACGTGACGAGACGCTAGCAGTCAGGATTTCCGTGGTGTGTCAGGAACAGCTTCATGATACACGTATTGGATGAGCCAGCCATGGGTGACACACAGCTGCATCTGCTGCTCACTAACAAAGGAAGAGCTCACTGGGGACATGGTAATCAACTTGGCCATAGTGGCAATGAAATAGGAGGGGAATGACGAAAGAGTAGCAGATCCTGGACTTCAGCTTACTCAGGGAACAACTACATGGGATCCCATGGAAGGTGGCTCTGATGGGTAAAGGAGCTCAGGAAAGCTGGCAGGTCTTTAATGAGGGCATCCTCCAAGCACAACAATGGGCCATCCTCATACTTGGGAAGATAAGTAGGCATACTGGGAGATCACTTTGGCTGAACTGGGAACCCATGATGGAGCCCCAACATAAAAAGGCAGCATATAGGAGGTGGAAACAGGCACATGCTGCAAAGGAGGAATTTAGAAACTTTCCCCAGGTGTGTAGGGATAGTGTAAGGAAAGCCAGAACTCAGCTGCAGCTGAGACTTGTCAAGGACATCAAGGGCAACCACAACTTCTGCAATTACACTGGTAGTAAAAAGCTGAACACAGCAAACATAGGTCTATTGCTGAGTGGAGTGGGTCATACATCCTAATACCTCTGCTTGTCTTTACCAAAAAGGTCTCACAGGCCTTTGAAATATGTAAAAGTGTTCCAAGAGGAGAGCTGCCAGCAGTGGATAAGGATGAAGCTAGGAATTACTCAAAAAAGCCAGACCCCTACAAGTCCATGAGACCTGACAGGCTACAGCTGAGGGTGCTGAGAGCACTGGCCAACGCTCTGGCAAGGTGGAGGTCTCTGGCAACTGGAAGAAAGCAAATGTTGCACCCATCTTCACAGATGCCAAAACAACAATCCAGGGAATCGCAGGTTCAGCCATCCTTACCTCTGTCCCTGGGAAAATCATGGAGTGAGTTATACTGGAGCCTATTTCTGAGCATGTGAAAGAGAAGAAAGAGTTTGGAGACAGCATTAATTTACCAAGGGTAAATCATGCCTGACCAACCCAACTACTCTCTATGATAAAATAACTGGATTTTTGTATGAGGGGAGAATAGCAGATGTCATATATCCCAAATTTAGCAAGTTTTTTCACACTGTCTCCTGCATTATTCTTGTATCCAAATTAGGACATTACAGTCTGGATAGGTGCACAACTAGATCAGTAAAAACTGGTTGGATAATTGGGCTCAAAAGGTAGTAGTTAGTGGGTCACACTCTACCTACATGGCAGTTACAAGTGGAACACTGTAAGGGTCTATCCTGGGATGTGTCCAGTTTAACATCTTTACAAGTGATCTGGAAGAGGTGCGTTCCTGCCAAACGTGCATAGGGCACCAAACTGGGGGGAACAGTTGACAAGCTCAAGGGCAGGGCAGCCACTCAGAATGACTTGGGAGAGCTGAAGGGAAAGGACTGACAGCAACCTAATGAAATTGAACAAGGGCAAGCGCAAGTCTTGCTCAAGGGAAGGAAGAGCTGCTGGCAACCACACAGGCTAGGGACTGGCTGTTTGGGAAATGACCACCTTTCTGACCTCATGGCTGACCCTCTTTTAAGTAGGAGAATGGACCAGACACCTCCCAAGTTCCCTTTCAAACCGAATGACCTGACAACCTAATAATGAGTGTAATATACAGATTTAGGAAGGGTCACCAAATCTATCTTGGAGTAATTCCTTTGTGCCACAGCTTCAATCTGAAAGAAGTACAACTTTTTTTGCTGGGGTGAGAGGCAGCAGTCCAACCCCGTGTTTCCTTCCATTCATCAAACCATTTCTCAGGCAACGAGAGCAAAGGTTTGTCTACACTGGGAGGTGGTTACACAGCAAACTGGTTACTGTAGGCAGAGGACTGAAACAAAACCCCAGGTCTTCACCTACAAAGGAGAATTAGACTTTATGATTTTTTCCCCCCGAGGAAAATGCACTCTATTAAAAACGTACTGACATCAAAGTGAGACAAGGGGAGTGAAAAGAATCTCAGTAGATATAATAAAGGGGGATGAAAGATGATGTTTAGCGCTTACATTGTTGAAATTAGCTGAGGCAGAGACAGTCCTTGATAAGAAGAGCTGGCCCCAAGAACCAGCCAAGAGGCAGAGACAGTTCCTGATAAGAAGCAGGAGCTGGCCCCAAGAGCCAGCCAAGACTGGTCTTGCAGCTTGGGTGAATACCAAGAAACCACTGAGCCTGCGCAAGAAAAGAGGTTACTAGCGGTGATGAAGAGGAGTCGTCTATCTTCATCTCTGCGACCACCAGACGACCACCATAGGGAGGCACTGCGCAAGCGCAGTTGAGAGGAGACTATGGAAATGACCTCTCGGAGCTAATTTTAATAGGAAGCGGGGATAGGTCATGCATATGTATAGGCGTATTGTGAATATGTAACACTTGACTGTATAAACTTGAGGCGAACTGCCAAGTCGGGCGCGCACGACTTTGGTGGGACTACCCCCCCCGTGCTGCCCAGCGCTGAATGAACATACACCTACTTTACAATCTCACTGATTGTGGAGTCTGTTTCTGCACGTCAGTTTTGGTGAGCCAGCCAGGAGA